AAAAAAAAAAAAAAAAAAAAGATATTTAAAAAAAAATCTTTATCAAGCATGAGGTAGACTCTGTGAATCCTCACAAACCGCTTAAAACACACAAAGGAGTATTCCCCACTTTACAGGAGCTCCAAGAGGTAAGTCAGTTCCCTAAGATCATGTAGCTGGAAAATAGAATCAGGATTGTGACTGTGACTCAACATCCAAGGGATCAACAACCATACCCCTCTGTGAATAATTTCCTAATTTTCCTAAGCAGCACAAAACTGTCTTCATCAAGAAAGAAAATTAAGGGTGGTATTACATGGTTTCTTATAACCCCAGAAGAGAAATTAGAACAGCTCGTAGAGCAGGGTTGCCACACCACACTCAGCCACTAGGCGTCACCATTTAGCAATAACCTAGGTCCTGCCCCTCCCTCCCACCACCCCCGCACCCACAGGCTGCTCACCATTGTTGCAGTGCCGGATGCAGTCCTGCAGCACAGCCTGCCACTTGTCCTGCTCGGCTTCTGTCATCATGCAGAAATAGTAGTGACGCGCGTAAGGATGCCAGAGGATGAGCGGGAACTGTGTGGGGCACTTGAGGATGGGTGCGCTGCCCGACTTCGCTGTGGTCCCTGTGGACACAGAACCTGCTGAGCAGATACCCTCTGTGGTTGCCCTCAGAGAGCAGAGGATGGCAGAGAACTGATCCCTTGGCCCCAGCTCTGAGGGCAGGCTCAGGCCCAGAGAAGGTTGGCCTGTCCCAGGCTGACCAGCGAGCTGGGGGATACGGAGCAGCCTTCTTTCTGGCTGTCCTTCTCAGCTCCAAACCCGAGTCCAGCATCTGTGCAGACCCATTTCTTTCTTTTTTTTGAGATGGAGTCTTGCTCTGTCACCAGGCTGGACTGCAGTAGCACCATCTTGGCTCACTGCGGCCTTCAACCTCTGCCTCCCGGGTTCAAGCTATTCCCCTGCCTCAGCCTCCCAAGTAGCTGGGACTACAGGCGCATGCCACCACGCTCAACTAATTTTTTGTATTTTAGTAGAGAAGGGGTTTCACCATGTTGGCCAAGATGGTCTTGATCTCCTGACCTCATGATCTGCCCACCTTGGGCTCCCAAAGTACTGGGATTACAAGCATGAGCCACCACGCCTGGCGAGAACCATTTCTCAGAATGGGTAATAAGTCACATCCACCCACTCTTGGGTAAGGTTCTAAACTCTGTAAAGCAAAAACAACACAAGGTCGGAGGCCCCAGGATCAAGAGCCAAGCACTACCTTCTTGGGTTTCCCTTCAAATTTTGGCTGTGGAGGCCAAAGTGTGGCTTAAGTGTTCACATGGGGAGGGAGGCATGTGGGAGGAACAAAATACAGCAAAAGGAATTTTTCCCTCCTTAGATTTCATTCTCAAGGATATGTAAGATCCAGCGAGATAGCTGGTCCTGGGCTATGACCCTGCCACTGTTGTTAAGAATACAACGATAACAGTTATTCTCTCTGCCCTGGCTCTGGGTTGGGCTGTGCTGGGCACACAGCCCCTCCAGGGTCCACACAACACCCTGAGGGCAGTCCTCTTAGTGCCTGTGCTTTGTAGGCACTGAAGCGGCTGAGATTCAGAGAGGGGAGTGACTCACCCGAGCAGACACAGTGAGACAAAGCCAGACTCACACTGGAATCCAGGATGCCGCTCACCCAAGCCCTCCATCACCACAGAATTAAAGCAAGGCTCTTTCAAGTCCCTGAGGCACAAACTGCCCCCTAGGTGGGCATGTCCCCTGCCCCCTGCCCCCTGGTTCCCAGGGATCATCAGAGAGGCCAGTGTTGTTCCTGTAAGGCTGCTGGGGAATTTCAGCCAAGGTGAAGCAAAAGCAGGATACCAAGAAGAGTAAGTCATGACACATACGGTGGTGACTCACAGATTTACAAGGCAAGGGTCACCAGACATCTCCCAGGAGGCCCTCAAGGACTTAGGGAGATGGGAAAGGCAGACGGCGAGGTCCCCATTCACAGCTCTAGGACTAGCTGGTCTCTCTGCAAATGTGGGTCTGAAAGCAATGGGCTCAGGGCCACCGCTCCCCTGGCCAGCTCCGCAGGCCTGTGGAGGGCTTCGTGGCCTGGGGTGGGTGCTTCTTTACCTGGTAAGGAGTTGCCAACAAGCTCCAGGTATTGGTCCACGGAAGTGAGGATTTTGTAGCCTGCACTGTTGATGACAGCTCGTGGTGGGACCTGCCGCTCATAGGCCTGAGGAAAGCAAGAGAAATGATCCCTGAGGGTTCAGGGTGTGGCCAAGCCCAACTCCCACCTGGCTTCAGGGCCCTACTCAGTGTGGCCCAGAGTAAAGAGGAGAAGGGGAAAGAAAAGGCAAGAGAGGAACAGAGGGAAGAGTGTGACTATCATGGTGATTAGAGCAGAATGGTATAGCAACCTAGACCCCGGCTCTGGGCTGAATTCCTAGCTCCACTGGGTAGTGTCTGTGTGATGCTGAGGATAAAGTTCCTTAAATGCCTGAGCTTCAGCTTCCTCATCATAAAACCAGGGAATCAAGAATATTCAGGATGAGGAAAACATTTTTAAATAAAAATAAAACCAGGGTAATAACCATTCCTGCCTCACAGAGCCATGTGAGGATTGAGTGAGCTAATTGGTGGTGCCTGGCACACCACAGGAACTCAGCGAGCTTGGCCGAGGTGTTGTTCTTACTGCTGCTACTGTTGCTATTGCCTCTGTTGCCAGCAGCTCCACTAGTTATTTCTTACACATCAGGCCCTGTGCTAAAGGCATTGCATGCTTCATTTCACAGAATTCTCCCAATCCAAAACACGAACACCCACAACTTCACATAGCTGGGAAGTAGCAGAACTAGGACATGAACAGGACTATTTGTCTCCAGAGCCTAGGGTATTTGACAATTACCCTGGACTGCCCCCACCAACTTCCTAGGTTCTGAGCATCACATAAATGTCCTCTGGAGGAGAATTTGCTCCAGAAACTTACACCAGTAGCAGGGGGTGAAAGCAGTTTTGATGGAATAGCTCATATAGCAGGGCTGCCATGCTACTCCCTGCCACTAGGTGTCACTATACAACCCAGTTCCTGAAAGTGGCTCAGCATCTGTAGGGCACTGATTTGCAAAACATGGTCCCAGATCTTCAACGCCACCCTAGAACTTATTAGAAATGCAAATACTGGCTCCATCCTAGATCTGAATCAAACTTGGAATGGGGGGTGAAAGCCCAGCATCCGGTCTTTCAACGAGCCCTCTAGTGAATGGGATGCCCTACCATTTGAGAACCACTACTCTGGGGCACGGGGTTGTTCCTGACTTTATGCTGCTCTAACACTGATCTGCCCTGAAATACAGGGCAGAGGCCTGTTCTTCTGGCTGCTCTGGAGAAACGTGCAATTGAAGAAATCAGGTCTGTGGCTCAACCAGGTGGGGCTTTCCCGAGGGTTCAAGGAAAAGACAAGGCATAATCCTCCCGGAGAGGCAGGAAGCCCAGTGAGAAAGGAGGTGGCAGGAGGAAGGGGCTCAGCGCCCTGGAGCTGGAAGGACTGGAGAGAGGTTAGAGGGATGGGGAGGAGTGAGTGACAGTTGGTTATGAGGGACAGGAGTCAGCGGTATTCCCCAGAGATGAAGAATGGGCTGCTGTCCAGAGTGCACCCAGGGCAGCCTGCAGGTTGGGTGAGGGGAGGCGCTGAGGTTGCGCTCTGGCCCTGGTGACCACGTGCGGGCTGTGAGGGTGGCTTCTGGGGCCGAAGTTTCCGACTGGGGAGGAGGCACACATGGAGAAGGCGAGGAGGCTCAGCGCGGCGCCGGGGCGGCCTCACCACTTTGTTGTCGTAGAGCACCAGCCCGTAGTTGTGGGGCACGAGGCTGAAGCGGTTCCTCCACTTCTTGCTGTCCTCCTGGTACTGGAAGAGGTTCCCCGAGAAAATGATGCGCTCGTCCAGTGGCACCTGTGGGCAGGAGGGGGCAGGGAATGAGGCCCAGATCGGGGGCTGGGGGAGCGCTCCCCATGAAGCTGACAGACCAGCCAGCAGAGCCTGTGTGCAAGCCCCTGGCCTAGTACGCCCTCCACTTTGGATCTCCCAGGGTCCTCCCAAAGCCTCTGAAGCCTGGCTGCCTCTCACCCATTCTGCAGATGAGAAGATTGAGGCTCAGAGCTGTGGAGGGGCTCACCCAGGGTCCAGGCAGGGTGGCGATACCAGGACTTGAACCCAGGACAGGAACCCACCTACTGCACCAGGCTGCTCCTCACCCACCTACAGCTGCAGCACCAGTGCCCTGCGGTCGCTCCAGGTGCAGGGGACACACCCACAGGCCAGGACTTCAACGGCCCCAGTGCCTGGGCAAGTCTATCCCTGGCCCTAGGCCTCCATTTCCCCTCAGGGCAATGACGACTTGAACAAGGTGGTTCCAGAGAATCTCCCAGCTCTGATGGCTGATGAGACGGCCTCCCTCAATCTGGGTGGGGATGGACAGTGCCTCTCTCTGGGGGTGTTTGATGTCTGACCTGAGTCCTGGCAGGCTGGTGACCTAAGTAGGCTGGTAACCTAAGTGGGCTGCAAAACGCCAGGACCTTCCTGCAAAGCCCAACTCTGCCTGACTCCCAGCGTGTCTCGTCACTTTGAGCATCAGTTTCCTCAGCTGTAAAATGGGAATCATAAGAGTTGGCACCTGACAGGCAGGTGCTTAATACACAGGACCGCCATGACCACTACTAGTAGGACTCAGCATCTGTGACAGCTTCCCAGCCCCAGGGACTGACTTATCCGGGAATGGGGAAGGGGGATTTTTAAACCAGGGTTGGGGGTCCAAGCGGAAGCTATGGCCAGGTGTAAGGTGTCCTGAGCAGACAAGCACCAGGAAGCTTCTGGAAGGAGAGAGACCACAATGGGAGAGGCTTCATCTTGGATGTGAGGGAATCCAGGGAAGTACAGTGTTCCTCTGTTTCTTAGCAAATTCTATTTGTCCTACAATAAACAAGGTGCCTTTGGCCTGACATGGTGGCTCACGCCTGTAATCTCAGCACTTGGGGAGGCCGAGGCGGACAGATCACCAGGTCACAAGTTCAAGACCAGCCTGGCCAACATGGTGAAACCCCATCTCTACTAAAAATAGAAAAATTAGCCAGGCATGTTGGCGCATGCCTATAATCCCAGCTACTCGGGAGGCTGAAGCAGGAGAATTGCTTAAACCCAAGAGGCAGAGGTTGTGGTGAGCCGAGATCGAGCCACTGCACTCCAGCCTGGGCAACAAGAGTGAAACTCTGTCTCAAAAATAAACAAGGTGCCTTTGCAAAAAGAAACAATTCTCCGAAGCAGTCATGGGAGAAAGGGTGATTGCCACTGTGCCTGCACCTTCCTGGCATCCTGGCTCTGCCCAGGCCCATCCTCGCAGTCCTGTCTCCTCTTGGCCCTGCGCACCCTTCACCGTGTCCCCCTCTCCCCACTCCCTCCCTGCTGCTTTTCAAGGGGAAACACAAAACACTCCTGGAGGAGAGCCCATTGTGCTCACACAATAGGACCTGCAGGCTTCTTCCTACCAGGGACGAAAATATTTACAGGAAAAGAAAATGGTTCCCCTACCACCCTCCACCCCACACACAGTGGGCTTTGCCCAAGGCACGGAGCTGCCCTCAGTGGTCTATATATAAACTTCCCACACCCAGCTCAAATCCCTGTCTTTTCTAGAAAGAGCAGAGAGCTCTCATAACACCCTAGCAAGAGGCCTCTGGTTTTCCTCTTCCTCCCTGTTTCGGGCAGGAGCCCCAGGACATAGGGACGCGAACTCAGGGACAGGGCCAGTCCCAGCAGGAGGCTGTGCAGAAGTGGGCTAGTGATGGAGGCAGGCTCAACAACCCCCACCACCCAGTCCGCCCCCAGATCCCAGGGAGCTCGCAATGGGTGGCTGGCTGTGGGTTTGGGTTTTATTTTTAAGACTTTCAAATGGCAGAGTCGTGTTTCGATTGGAAGGCCTGCAGGAAATGAAACAGAACTCGACAGCCCAGGCAAAATGGTTTAGACTCTGCAAAGCTCTCCAATGCCTCAGTCAGAGACAGCACAGGCCCCAAGGTCATAGACAACCAGGACTCCTGTCTTGGCACCACCACCCACCGCCAGAGCCTGGACAAGCAGCTCTGCCCCTCTGAGCCTCAATGTCCACATCTGTGATGCCCGCATCATCATAGCCCCTCCCTTAGAGTGGGGCCAGGTGGCTGAGCAAACAATATAGGCACAAGACAATTGCTGTTTTAGCCAGGCACAGTGGCTCACACCTGTAATCCCAACACTTTGGGAGGCCAAGGCAGGCAGATCCTGAGGTCAGGAGTTCGAGACCAGCTTGGCCAACATGCTGAAAACCTGTCTCTACTAAAAATACAAATAATTAGCTGGGTGGGTGGCGGACACCTGTAGTCCCAGCTAGTGGGGAGGCTGAGGTACGAGAATCACTTGAACCCGGAAGGCAGAGGTTGCAGTGAGCCGGGGTCGTGCCACTGCTCTCCAGCCCGGGTGACAGAGTGAGACTGTCTAAAAAAAAAAGCAAAAAACAAACAAAAAGACAACTGCTGTTTGATTATTCTTATTTTTGTTGTGTTATCATTATCACTATTTTTATTTTTTTATTTTGTTCTCTATGAGAACGAATTTGGTTCAAATTTTATTGTATTCTATTGTTTCTAATAAAAACCATTGTTAGTATTAATCACCAGTGGTGATAAAAACATCTCTAGTATTATGATGTTATTGTGACTTTACACTGTGATAATCTGTTTCCTGAGTGGCAAAATAAGACCAAAAATACCTGCTTTTCAGGGATTGTGGGTGAGTGATTTCGTTTCACTCTCCTTGCTTACATGTTGCTATTTTTCTATAATAAATACACACTCCTGCCTCCCCAGAGTAAATGGGGCCTCACGCAGAGGAAATGCTTAACGCCCTCAGCTGGCGCCCGCTTGTCTTAGATTATTAAGACTTGAGCTGCCTGTGACATTTCTTTCCAGACAGGGGAGCCATTCTGGCCCCACTCACCTGGGCTGAGTCCAAGGCCTCATTTCCTTCCTTTCCTACAATACAGGTGCAAACCTGCCAGACACCCAGGCCAGGCCACAGCAGGGCCCCTCTGCTGCCACGGGGTTAAGAGGTTACCACGACACTGGGGAAGAGGCAACCTTTTCTGGATCCAAAAGCAAAGGTGATGCTCTGAGTAGCTCCAACACACGGTCCTGATCTCCCTCTACCAGGCAGGCTGCAGTCACAGCAGAAAGGGCCCTGTGTGGGCCCTGCCTCCACCATCCTGAAGGAGCCACTTAAAGGCTCAGCCCTGGCCAGGTCCATCAGCTCAGGCCTGTAACCTCAGCACTTTGTGAGGGCGAGGTGGGAGCATCTCCCGAGTCCCACCCCCGGCCCCGTGTCTGAGTCAATCACAGGTTCCTTTTCCCAGAAGGCTTTGCCAGCCCCCTCTGGCCCATACGGACCCTCAGGCTGGAGCCAGGCTTCTTCCAGGCCCTCACTTGACAATTATTTCCTTAGCAAACAGCATCCTACTATTTATAACATAGCAGATCATGAGGCCAGTGACAGCACCTTCCCTGTTCAGGCACAGCCACCCTGGGAAGGAGGTGTTCTCCTCCCATTTGACAGAGGAGTCAACTCAGGCTTAGGGGAGGAGCTTGCCTTGAATCGGAGACTATCAATACTCTAGAGCCCCAGCTCTGATGGTGGGGGAGGTGAGCTGGGAGGAGTCACCCATGGTGACTGAAGGGATCTCAACACCACGACCTGGGTTACCCACGCATTCAGAAGTGGGAAGGAGGCTAGGCGTGGTGGCTCCTGCCTGTAATCCCAGCACTTTTGGGGGACTGCAGCTGAAGGATCACTTGAGCCCGGGAGTTTGAGACCAGCCTGGGCAACACAGCAAAAGCCCATCTCTACAAAAAATACAAAAATTAGCTGAGAGTGGTGGTGTACACCTGCAGTCCCAGTAACTGGGGAGGCTGAGGTGGGAGGATCACTTGAGCTGGAAAGGTTGAGGCTGCAGTGAGCCATGATTGCACCACTGCACTCCAGCCTGGGCAACAGCAAAACCCTGTCTCAAAAAAAATTAATAGGCCAGACATGGTGGCTCATGAGGTGGGCAGATCACATGAGGCCAGGAGTTTAAGACCAGCCTGGCCAACATGGTGAAACCCATCTCTACTAAAAACACACACACAAAAAAACCTGGATATGGTAGTGCTTGCCTGTGGTCCCAGCTACTCAGGAGGCTGAGACATGAGAATGGTTTGAACCCGGATGCAGAGGTTGCAATGGGCTGAGATTGCACCACTGCACTCCAGCCTAGGTGACAGAGCAAGACTCTGTCTCAAAAAATAATAAACAAGAGACCAGGTGAGGTGACTCATGCCTGTAATCCCAGCAGTTTGGGAGGCTAAGGCAGGTGGATCATGAGGTCAGGAGTTTGAGACTGGCCTGGCCAATATGGTGAAGCCTCATCTCTACTAAAAATATGAAAATTAGCTGGGTGTGGTGGTGAGCACTTGTAGTCCCAGCTGCTCGGGAGGCTGAGGCAGGAGAATCGCTTAACTTGGGAAGTGGAGGCTGCAGAGAGCCAAGACTGTGCCATTGCACTCCAGCCTGGGTGACAGAGCGAGACTCTGTCTCAAAAAAAGAAAAAAAAAAAAAAGCAGCAGCCTGGGGAGGGGGGGTGCTTAAAGGCCATCACAGTAACAAGGAAAACTGAGGCCCAGAAAAGTCAAGTTACTCCCCTGAGGCCCCATGGCGAGAGGCAGCAGAACCCACCCCAGCCCTCCCAGCACCTCTCACCTTGCGCCAGAGCAGCTGGGCCTGCGGCAGCCCCGTGCCCTCGATCTCGTGGCGCATGCTATTGAAGAGAGCCACGCCATACTGGTCTTCATAGAACTGGAGGAACTCCGTCAGAATCTTCCCGGTTTTTTCTGGAAGAGAAGAACAAACAGGAGTTTGAGGTCCTCAGGGAAGCTGATGCATCTCAATCCTCCCCCAGATTCCTGCATGTGGAATTGTTTGCACAAGCTCCTCGCGCTCATCTGTGCTGAATTTCTGGCCAGAGCCGCGAGTTTCCTGTGAAAACCAAGGACCTTGGTAAAGGGTGAACCTCCAGATGGGTAAGTGGGCAATGGCCATAGACAGAGAATCAAAGCTCACAAATGCAAACGGAACCAAGACTCCATTTCCTCTCGTCACACTGGTGGGGACGTGCAAAAACAGGCCATGTCACCCAGAGCTGGGGGTGTCAGGAATGGGGACAGCCGTTTTTCGGGGGTGGGTGTCCAGTCCTTCGATGCTCCCACCTCTAGGAATCTATACCATAGAACGAAGCGCAGGAGGCCAAGGAGGTGAACATGCACTGAGGCCACAGCGCAGGGAGGCGGCGGGGAGCAGCTGAACGTGGTCTCTAGAGATGATCGGTATATACTGGTTCACCCAGGACGGGAAAAAGTAAAAAGATGGAGGGGGCCGGGTGTGGTGGCTCCCAGCACTTTTAGAGGCCGAGGTGAGTGGATCAACTGAGGTCAAGGGTTCTAGACCAGCCTGGCCAAGACGGCAAAACCTTGTCTCTATTAAAAAATACAAAAGTTAGCCAGGTGTGGTGGCAGGCACCTGTCATTTCAGCTACTCAGGAGGCTGAGGCAGGAGAATCACTGGAACCTGGAAGGCGGAGGTTGCAGTGAACCAAGATTGCACCATGTACTCCAGCCTGGGTGACAGAGCGAGACCCTGTCTCAAAAAATACCCATACTAGTAATAAGTATATAAGAGAATAAAATCACTTAGGATTGTGTCGCAAATGGAGTAATCCGGGAGGGGAGGGTGGGCGGATAGCAAGGGTTGAGCCCTTGCACAACCGCGTCGGCAATACATTAAAAATACAAAAAAAAAAAAAAAAAAAAAAAAATGGCGGGACCTAGCCTGATAGGTGCCAATAAAAGGGAGCTTGTGCTCCATTAAGTAAAGCAAGCAAGTGACAGAGTCACCTGTTGACTATTATCTCATTAAAAAAAACTCTTTCTGGCCAGGTGCAGTGGCTCACACCTATAATCCCAGCACGTTGGGAGACTAAGGCAGGTGTATCGCTTGAGCCCAGGAGTTTGAGACCAGACTAGGCAACACACCAAGACCATGTCTCTACAAAAACAAAAGTTTGGCCAGGTGCAGTGGCTCACACCCGTAATCCCAGCACTTTGGGCGGTCGAGGTGGGTCACTTGAGGTCAGGAGTTCGAGACCAGCCTGGCCAACATGGCGAAACCCCATCTCTACTAAAAATACAAAAATTAGGCGTGGTGGCAGGTGCCTGTAAACCCAGCTACTCAGGAGGCTGAGGCAGGAGGATCACTTGAACCTGGGAGGCGGAGGTTGCAGTGAATCAAAATTGTGCCACTGCACTTTAGCCTGGGTGACAGAGCAAGACTCTGTCTCAAGAAAGAAAAAAAAAAAAATTAGCCAGGTGTGGCAGCATGTGCCTATAGTCCCAGCTGTTCGGGAGGCTGAGGTAGCAGGATCACTGAAGCCAGGGGAGGTCGCGGCTACAGTGAGCTATGATCGTGCCACTGCACTCCAGCCTGGGCAACAGCACGACCCTGTCTCAACACACATAACAAAACCATAACTGCTCCTGTTTGTGCATATAGATGTCTTAGGCTTGGGCGCTTGGAGGAGGTCTGGAGGGCAGCATGCCAGGCTGGGAAGGGCAGGACCGCTGGGTGTGGGAGTGGGGCACACAGAGTGAGCTTCATTTTCGATTGCCTTTTATAGCATTCGAATTATTTTATAATCACAATTCCTTTCATAATAAAAAATAAACATTCCACAAGTAATGCCTCTTCAAAGTGAACACCCTTTCTGCTTTCACTGGCCGTTTGCTCCTGTCTCCTAAGCGGTTTCTGAATGGAGCTGAGTGTTATGGCCTTGAGAGGCTCAGGCCACATCAGGCTCAGTATGTGTGCTTCCGGGCACTCCAGGTTCAGATGAAGGACAAGGCCCAGAGAGGGTCTTGGACCCATGAGGGGAGACAATTCCTGTTCCTAAGAAGCTGCAGCTCTCGTCCCCACTGGGACCTGTGCTGGCCCACTGTGTGGCTCTCCTCTCTGGGCCTCAGTTTCCCCCCACACACTGAGAGGCTGGATTTGATGATGGACAGGCCCTGTCCCCTCTGACAGTCTTGGATTCCAGGTTTCAAAGACCTGGTCCTTTCTCAGAAGGAGCTGGCAGGACCCTGCCCCTCCCTCGCCCAGTCTCCAGGTACCAAGGGCACCTGGCTAGGATGACACCTCATACCATCCTCTCCATAGCTCTGTGAGGTAGCACCGTGTTATCCCCACTGTACAGAGGAGGTAACTGAGGTCCAGGGAGGTTAAGTCGCTCGCACAAGATCACACAGCCAGTGGGTGGTGGAGCTAGGATGCAGTCCCAGGTCCCTGCCAGGAGGTGGTGGCCTGGGAGGGCTGAGAGTACATGTCACGTGCCACACCTCACAGCTCATACCCAGGGTACCGGGCACATGACCCTCCTGGGTGTCTGCCCACACCCTGGGCCCTGCCTCAGTGATGGGGGTAGGGGGATGTCCCCCAACCCCTCTCCACAGACCCTGTCCCTCCCTGTGCTCCCCTTTCCTAGAATGAGGTTATGTCTGTCCAGATTCCAGTTTTGGGGGAGGAAGGGAGAACAAATGAGGAATTTGCTTTGAACGCCTGTTTTTTTAAAAACCATAAACAACCAGAACTCTCTCCGAGACCCATGGGAATTGTTTTGAAAAATGATGAGGCAGAGAGGGAGCAGGTGGAAGAGAGTCACACACTGGGGCTGATAGAGAAAAGAGGGTGGAAGCTGACAGTAACATCGGTACCATTGTTGTCATCTTCATCGCCACCATCTACAGGGCACGAAACCCGTGCTGCAGCAGGTTTTCCGCATGTGAACCCAGAGAATCTCCACAAGAACCCCAGGGAGCCAGTGCTGCTATTTTCCTATTTCCCAGATGAGGAGTTCAGCCACGCACCCCCTGGGTATTCTATCAGTGTGGCCGGCAGGATGGGCAGGCTTGGGCCTGCAGGTCTCGGGGGCCCCAGCCAGCCCCGGTGCATCCAGCCTGCAGACAGAGCATTCTTTCCACACAGAGCGTTATTTCCTGAAGGGCTAGAGTCTGCCCTGGAAGGAGCTGCCATGGCTGTGAGGACTCACACCCAGCTCTGCCTGACTGCAGCCCATGCTCACTGCCCGGACAGCACGGCCCAGATATCGAGTCCAGGCAGGGAGTAGCTGGGTTCAGAAGGACCCCTGTGCAGAGCTGGGGAGAACACAAGAGGGCAAGATAGAGCCAGGAGAAGGCCCAGGCATGTCCCATCAAGGGACAGTTGAGGCCCAAGTTGGGCAAGGCTGTGGACCGGAGAGGAAGGTGCTGGAAGCTCTGAGGAAGGGAGGGATGGGAGCGTGGGGACCCGCTACCCTTCAGGGCAGGAGCTGAATGTCAAGGTGGGAGCTGAAGGTCAAGTCTCTGGGCCAGGGTGGTGCTGGGCCAAGGGGGCCCAGGCAAGAGCCAGGGGTCCATGGATGCAGTTCCCTCTGGGTCTCTCACGTTGGCCCCAGGTGGAGCCAGAGTCGCTCACTGCCCAGCCTTGCTCTCAGAATTCAGGAGCCAAGTGGGTCAGGTAGGGAGGGCTGGAACTCTGCTGGAGGGTCTGGTCTCCTTTTGCTCACCACTGGATCGTGGGCACTGGGCCTGGCACAAACAGATGTCAGGGAGGGGTTGGAAGAGTGGGGGTTGGTCCAGCGACCAAATAGTTACTAAGTCCAAACAAGGGAAGGCGTCAGGGTGGGCTTTGGGGGGAAACTGAGGGAGCAGCAGACTGGAGGTAGGGGGATGGCATCAGCAAGGGGTCAAGGACCTTAAGGATGGTGCCCAGGCAGCACCGGGAAGCCAGCCCTGCTCAGCAGAAGGGTGGCTGCCAAGGCAAGCTGGAAAGGAAGGACCGTGGGGAACAGGGCCACGGACGGCTTCTTGGCACATTCTCCCAAGCACATTCTTGAGAGATGTCTTCAGCCAGCGTGGAAAGAACCGCCATGTGCTTAGTACAGAGGAAGCAACCCAGATACGCAGAAGATGAGGACTCGGGCACTGGGGGCCCCAGGTATGGAGACCAGAGGGACCCAAAAGGCCAGCAGCACTCGGAGGGGCCTAGCCTGGACGAAGGGTTTGCAGAGGCCTTCCTGGCCAGGCCCTGTTGGAAGAGGACCCAGGTGGGCACTGCAACCCTGGCGGGAGCCCAAACATAGTAACCAGCCAGACCACGGCCTCACCTGCTGAGCTCTGGGGCCACCACCCAGGCGGCCCCCACCCAGTACCCTACTTCTTCCCCCCTGCCCAGTACCCCACTTCTTCCCCCACCCAGTACCCCACTTCTTCCCCCACCCAGTACCCCACTTCTTCCCCCTGCCCAGTACCCCACTTCTTCCCCCACCCAGTACCCCACTTCTTCCCCTGCCCAGTACCCCACTTCTTCCCCCACCCAGTACCCCACTTCTTCCCCCGACCCAGTACCCCACTTCTTCCCCTGCCCAGTACCCCACTTCTTCCCCCGACCCAGTACCCCATTTTTCCTTCATGCTCCCTGCAGTGGCTCTCTCCCTGGCATTGTCACTTCAGGATTTTACAACTCAAATTCCCACGCGGCATCCTGGCCTGGGTGTCTGTGGGGGTCCCAAGCCCAGGCACCCCTCTTTCCTCCACACTTGCCCACAGCACCTCTTCCCATTTCCTGCCACAGCCTCTGGAGACCCACACACCATGGATTTGGGGCAGATGTTGAACAAGGCCTCCAACACTCAGCCTTGCCACCCTGTTAGGGGAATGTGAGCCAGAGAGGGTGAGCACCTAAGCTAGGTCACACAGCCAGACGGAGGCAATCAGGTTCCAGCCAT